GAGGGGCTCACATTTGACTGTTTATAGTAATTAATTTTAGTTGCAATGGAGAATACAGGGTAATTTTCACTTAAATAGCCAGAGTAAAACGGGTCAATCGAAATATTGTCAAGTTTTGCCAGTAAATGAGGATAATTCTGTGAGTTCGACGACGGGAGATACTACATATCTGCAGGAGATGAAGTCACGCCTGTGATATTGAGGAACTACTTCTTACTACTTAGATGGAATGGCATGTATGAAACAAACTGACCTTATTTCTCGATAAATTCGAACTAGGCTTGGGTCATCCTACTTGTACCGCTTGTTATATGGATCAGTATTTAATGTCTGAAGTCATATTTAAGGAAGACCACCTATCCAAATAAACAGTTTCTAGAGATCAGCCTGCTACCACGCTGTCATTGATGTGAATCTGATAGGCCTTCCGTCGTTGTCGTCATCATCATTATCTTTATTGCTTGTGACCTTACGATAAATAGGCAGATCATTCAGCGCAGGTTGCAAAGCGGTTCAATTCTGACTTTACAACGATCTGCTAAACACCGTGACTTAAACGTATTTGCAGAATCGAAAGTTGCTGTCGAACATGGAATCACAATGCCTATCAGGTGTTTAAGCAAACGTTTGCGATTGTGACCTTTCGAACTAGAAGAAGAACGGATTATATGTGAGGTTACCCCCATTGTGCCATGCGAATCCACTTAGCAAAAACTTTCCAGTACTCAACCTCTACTACCTCAGCTTATCGCTCTCTTTTGTGAACATGCTGAACGCATGACTGTCTTCTCGGAAGTTGTACATCTGTTCTATCTTACCGGATGCTTTCGACCGCGCAGATGCTTCGCGCTGTGTTCCGGTTCAAATACTTCAGTACGCAGATCAGCGCCGTTTCATTCTGTTGAATTTTTCATACCTTCACTATCCCGCTGAAATTATGTATGATATTGTTTTTCTGTACACTTCGTGGTATTGTCGAAGCATCAGGCTTTCAGCATGCT